AATCACGACTGTGTGAAGAAGCCTCCACCAAATCCAGCAGGTTGGGGTTCACAGAGCTTCCTGGAGGTTCAGGGGAGAGCCGGCCTCGGGAGGGGTGCAAGCTCTGGGTACCCTGAGCAACTCTCCCTCCCAGCCATTCCTTCCTAATCACAGTCATCTAGTTTCTCTGAGTTCTATGCACTGCTCCAGTAAATCCATCAAACTCAAGGCTTACTTACATAAAGCACAGATAAATCTAACTTAAAAGGAAGAATATTACTGCCAAAGCAAGCTTCCTTAAATCAAGTAGATAATGTTATAGGCGTGGAAGTAGATGGCTACAGAAAGTATTTTCTCTTATATTGATCACAGAATGTTCCATTTGTCTAATGTTCTTTTGGCCAAGCCCTTGGATTTACTCCATGGTATTACTCAGTTCTCTATGTTTTCTGATTAATATGAAAACTACCTATAAAATGAGAACTATGTCCCCCAAAATGAAGAAAACCAAATCTCTTGCAACTTGTATAGTCAGAGAAAACAATTATCGACATATTGTTTTAGATCCTTCTAGTTTGTTTTTCTATAAATTTGTGATCATTGGTCATCCATTAACTGCTTGTTTTACCTGTGTGTTACCTTGATAACTTCTCTTACACTATGGATTTACCTCATCCCTGTAAGTAGCAATGTCCAGACCTTTCACCTCAAATCTAGACTCCTCTACATCAATCCACTTGGCACCTCAAAAGCATCTCAACAAATTCATTATCTTCTTTCCTCCTTCCTGAGTTTTCTAGTTTGAAAACTTGTGACTATTCTTTTTCTCCCTCACACACTATGACAGTCACCAAATATTGCTGTTTCTGAGAGCAAATCCCCCCTCAGGGCACCTATCTCATTGGATCCAGTCTCCTACCGTCCAGTCAGCTCACGTCCACCCACTATCCTTAGATTTTTCACACAAAATCAAAGAGTTAATGGAGTTCCCCCAAAGGAGGAAATCCAAATCCTTAGTGTGCCACAGAGGATCTTCCCATTTTAGTGACTTCTCTGCAGAGCCAACTGACAGCAATGAACTGGGACCGGGGCCACCCTCACTGCGGCCTCATGCTCCACCTGCTGGTGCAGAGCAACATCCTGGGACAGGCATCCAGGGAACACACAGGTGGGACCTGTGAGGTGGAGCAAGCCTGCCAGAGGGGGTGCGTCAGCTAGAGTCAAATGTGCAAAGGAGCGAGGAGCCCTGGAATTTACAGGCCCACCTAGTAGTTTCATGTTAGCATTGGATTCTCCTACGGAAATGCCCCCAGCCTCCAACCACTGTTATCATCGCCATTCCTGAGAGCAGCTGAAAAGCTGTGATGGTATCTCTTTACTTACTGCTACTAAATAAAAACACTGGACTATTCTGATCCACCAACTGTACTGTTGCAAAGGTACATAATGCAACATCCAATTAGTATACATCCCCACAAAACGCAACCTCAGTGGGTAGGACTATCAGCTTCCTTCAGGGAAACTCTACAGAGCTACAATGTCACCACTTTAAAATACTTCTTAACCTACAGCGATTAAAGTAAGGATGAAAAAAGATCATACAGGGTGGGCAAAAGTAGGTTTACAGCGGTGAGTATGTAAAACAGAGTTTAACACAGAGATTATTCTTGTATTATTTATTAATTATTGTATTATTTTTCATATGAACAACTGTTCTTTTACCCCACCCTGTATTTTAAATTGCGCAACTATAAAAACTACACCTTTTCAAAAGTCCAATGTGTACCAATCTTGTAAACAAAGGTGTAAAAGGAAATGTTCCTTAACCACCTTCCTTGTTTTGAAAATAATAAATAATACTCAACGCTTTAAATTTTAAGAGGAACTTCATTGTTCACACAGAAGCGTCTTTCAATAGGTTGTCAGTTACAGCTTTTTATAAAATACCAAGTGACTTGAGGTTAGAAGCACCCACTAAGCTGTGTAATACATGACACAGTCACATTAGCCCACTGGAATGCAGGAAACCACACTTCCTCCTCCAGATGCCTCTTCTGCCTCTGCTGGAGCACAGTCAGCACAGCCTCACTTATTATGACCCCAATGGCAGCCCATTTTCTCTTTGATCAGCACCCTTAGGAAGTTATGTTAAACATGGAGACAAGATCTGTTTCCTGGTAACTTTGGCATTGCCAGTGACCCAACTTTGGAGCCCTCTGAAATAAGACTCGACTATCAGACCATGTTTTGATTTACGCAGACTTCCAGTAAATATGGAGGCACAGGTAAACATGCCTCACCTCTGCACACAACTATAGCAAAAAATACTAGACCACAAAACAACAATATCACCCAGAATCCATCAGAAACTTGAGCCGTGTGGAAGTCCGATAACCAAGGATTTAAAGAAGCCACATTATTCCAGGCGGGTAGGAGGGGTGGAAAAAGCAGAGACATGGAGCGGCACAGAGAGGTGCAGAGATGGGAACAGTCCCACATCCATGTGTGGTGGCTAAAAAAACAGAGGGATACCTCGGGAGCAAGGGATCCCAGCCCCAGACCAGAACATCCAACCCAGGGATGCAGCACCAGGAAAATAACTTCTGGCTATAAAAACCAGTAAGGGTTGGGGCTCAGAAGAAACTGCAGGATTCAAAAGAGACTCCTATAAAAGGGCCTGCAATGGACTTAGGGCTCACGCATACTCACCCTCTTTGGGATTCAGCACCAGTGCAACAGCTGGAAGGGCACCAGTGGCATATGGGGAGAAAATGAACTGCGAGTGATGAGAGCTGCCTCCCAGGCAAAACTCCAGTGGCCACACAGAAGTATTGACCCCTCTGTGAGCCCTCCCCCACACAGAGCAACAGAGCAATGACACAGGTTGCCCTGCCCTGGTGATTACCTAAGGCTCTACCGTACACAACTTACAGGTGCGCTTTTCTACAACAGACCACAATACTACGACAGGGAGTCAAAGCAGCTCTACCTAATACACAGAAACAAACACAGGGAGGCTGCCAAAATCAGGAGAGAAAGAAATATGGTCCAAATGAAAGAACAAAACAAACCTCCAGAAAAAGAACTAAATGAAATGGAGATAAGCAACCTATCTGATGCACAGTTCAAAACACTGGTTATCAGGATGCTCCAGGAACTCACTGGGTACTTCAGCAGCATAAAAAAGACCCAGGCAGAAACAAAAGCTGCATTAAGCAAAATAAAAAAAAAAATCCACAAGGAACCAACAGTGGAGGGGATGAAGCTCAAAATCAAATCAACAATTTGGAACAGAAGGAAGGAAAAAAACATTCAATCAGAACACAAAAAAGGAAGGAAGAAAAAAGAATAAAAAAAATAAGGATAGGTTTAGGAACCTCTGGGATATCTTTAAGCATTTCAATGAATCAGAGGGCTGTCAGAAGGAGAAGAGAAAGAGCAAGAAATTGAAAACTTATTTGAAAAATAATGAAAGAAAACTTCTTTAATTTGGTAAAGGAAACAGACACGCAAATCTGGGAAGCACAGAGAATCCCAAACAAGACTGACCCAAAGAGGAAAATACCAAGACACATCTTAGTTAAAATGCAAAAGGTGAAAGATAAAAAGGGAATCTTAAGAGCAACAAGAGAAAAGCAGACAATTACCTACCAAGGAGTTCCCATAAGACTATCAGCTGATTTCTCAAAAGAAACTTTGCAGGCTAGAAGGGACTGGCAAGAATTATACACAGTGATGAAAAGCAAGGACCTAAAACCTAGATTACTCTATCCAGCAAAGTTAATGTTTAGAATTGAAGGGCAGATAAAGTGCTTCCCAGACAGGGTAAACCTAAATGGGTTCATCATCACCAAGCCATTATTACATGAAATGCTAAAGGAAATTATATAAGAAAAAGAAGATCAAAACAGTGAACATTAAAAAGGCGATAAATTCAACACTATCAACTGAATGCAAAAACAAACTAAGCAAACAAGAATAGGAACAGAATCACAGATATGGAGATCACTGGGAGGGTTACCAGCTGGGAGGGGCAAGAGGGGAATTGGTGGGAAAGGTGCAAGGATTAGGAAGTACTACTTGGTAGGTACAAAATGGACAGGGGGATGTTAAGAACAGCGTAAGTAATGGAGTAGCCAAAGAACTTATATGCATGACCCATGCACATGAACTGAGGGGGAATGGTGGTACCCGGTGGAGGGGGCATTAGGGAAAAAAATTGGGGCAACTGTAATAGCATAATCAATAAAATATATTTAAAAGAAGAAAAAAGCCCATGTTTCATGTATTGTATTGCAACAGGTTTGCAGCCACCCCTTGGTCTTCTCTCTCTTAGTCTAGCGATCCTGAGTGTAATGTAACCTGCATGCCACAACCAGTTTTGACTCACAGGTCCCTTTCTTTGCATTCTCTTTTTAACATGCTCCAGGCTTGCAGGTGACAGGAGCCATAGGTGTGAGATGGATGATCCAAGGAACGCAGGGTTATTACCTCCATCATGCTAGATATACCACTTTTGCTAATGCAGTTTCAGATGCAATGGCAATTCTGGGAAACTGCGGAACACTGTAGACTCATTTTAAGATTTCCCTTAAGTAAAACTCCCAACTCATCTCTTGTTTTTCTTAACTGACAGATGCTGGGCCATGTCTCCATCTATTTTCTGTTGCCTAGCTGATGCTAAAAAGTACACACATTTCTACCAACATTTTTATGGCTATGCCTATATATATTAAAAAATATCTCATACAGGAAACATGACCATTCATTTGACAAATATATATTAGAACAAACCATTTGTTAGGCACTAGCATGATGGAAACACAAAGCTGAATGAGACATGACAACATTATTTCATTTTCATCTCTTTACCAAAGATTATATATAGACATCAAGGGTCGTTGGCACACAGTCGCTGCTCAATACACGTACTATTATTATGACCAGTTACAAATTATAGTCTTAAAAATGACTACAGATTTTTAAAATGAAAATGATCAAGTAATGCCACCAATACTCACCAATACTATAATATCTCTTTAGTTCTGTACGTCTGATCTCCTTTAACTGATTTTTTCTCTTTTTTTTCTCATCAGTAATACGTTCCTCTTCCACAGCAATGTTGCACTTGTCTTGTTCTAAAATGACTGTATTAACATCTGCTTTTCCAGTATGAGTCCTTGTAGCTACAGCTGAGGCCGTCTCTGCATTTTGTTTGGCTTGTTTTTTCTTTTTCAATCTATAAATGAGGAAAAAAAGGGAAGAAAACATTGCTAAGAGAAGTTATATTAATTTCATGAATTGACTGGGTTTTGAGAAAATGATATAGAAAATACTTCCTTTATATTATTGTTAATAACACTTTCCTGTTATATTTTCCATGCCTAATCACTTAAAAATTCTTACATGGAGACCTGTGGCCTCTCCTCAATTGTATATCCTGGATGCCTCAGGAAATGAATGGCAAGTGCTTTAGACTGGAGGAAAAACTAGATTAATCTACAGGCTGTACAATGGTGAGTGGTTTTTTTTGGCATGATGTACAGTTATCCAAATATATTGCCACATTTGGAATGCTACATTTTTAAGTGTTTCTGGTGTTCAATGGCACCCTTGGACGGATGGGCAAGCACACCTATAGCAACAAACCCTTCACACTTGGCTCACACACTGAATATCAAGGTTTGTCAGGGTGCAAGCAGTTTAGGGTTAAGTAATTCTTTTCCTTTACTCACATGAAAGTAATGCTGAAGCGAGAGCTGCCTTTCCTGAGATAGAAAATGCCACTGTGATAATACATAGTTACCATTATGATCAGGAATAGCTGATGCATAAGTTAGCACATCTGATGCTTTCAATTTTATACTCCTGAGTCTCTGTATGAGATGAAGTTCATTATAAATTCAATAACTCAAAATTGTTCTAATTGACATATCATTCTAATTCACATGTCACTTTGAAAGTACTAGTCCTTAAAAATGTTTTAACCTAACCAGAACATAAAGAACAAAAGCCTTGCCCTCTACTATATATGGCAGTCTGCTCATATGTAAACACTGATTGGTCAGGACACCTTTCCCCCTTTCTTTCTAGGCACAAGCAGTGGTCTCTTACACGTCTATTTCCTCTGCTCCCTTGAGCATCTATATAATTTGATGTTGCTGAGAAAATGTTTGGGGAGAAAAGCAACTGTAGGACAATACAGGAACTAAGGTTTGATTCTGCGCTGCTGTGCTCTGTGATGTTGGACAAATCGATTTAACAGTCTGGAGAGGCCTCGCGATGAGGCTTGGCTCCCTGACAGGGTCTTTTATTAGGATCCACTGAGATATGCATCTACATGTAACACAAATAGAAATAGTAAAATATCTCCTGATATAATCATATAACATAAGGTATATAACAAATTCAGCTTTTGAGGTAAAGGTCCCATATTCTAACAAAATATTTCAACTAGGATGCTATTCACTGAACACCAGGCAACCAAGTTCTCATACTTTCACTGACTAACAAATGATTATAGTCTAGAAGAACAGACAGCTAGAAAAAAAATCATACATGAATATATTCCCCACCTTGAGTTTACCCATCTTTTCATGTTTACTTGTTAAAAAAACAAAACCGCAAATCAAGCAAAACTGGAGAATCATGAAAAGGAATTACATTCAGTAAACACAATTTATTTTCTATCTTCAGATTTTAAACGTTTTTTTTTCTGGTAAAACAGTAGGTAGCTCTTTGCAGAGCTGATTCAGATAATGCTAACAAAATAATTTCTCTCTCATGGAGATTTCTGTATGAGGCTGAAATTCACATGCAGTAACCTAGATACATAGATCAGAGATCAGCTCTTACTTAGGACGGTCTCTGCAGAACGGGTCTCTGGGTCCAAAGGGATTGTGCTGGTCTTGTTCTGATACACTGGTTTATGACAGACAAGCCTGACTAGTCAATCATATTTTAATAACTATGCATGGTGCCAGGTGGGTACTGGAAATATCTGGGGGAATACTTCATAAAGTATGTGATTAACCCCTATTCTGTATACCACAAACTAATACAAAATAATAGTGATTGTAAAAAATAAATTTAAAAAACAAACTACTTAAGATGAATCTTTATTGCCCACTCACCAAAACTGTTCCTTCCAGGAGAGAAAAGAGGTAACAAAACTAGCTCTGTGCGCCTGAGAGAAGTTGCTTTTCAAGCTTCTGAATTTTTCCACTTTAAGTTGATTTCAGTGTCCTCATTTCACTGTCCCCACGACCATTAAACTCACTCAGATCGAGGGCATATACTTTGTGAGCACTGTCTGGGGACATCTCCTTAGGGGCTGGTTTTCATGCTTGGAAATGAGAAAATGGGATGCATTGCCTTATTCCTTTTCCACGCAGACCATTACTATCAATGCGTATAACCAAACACCGCTATTTCAGAGAAAAAAAGGTAGAATACACCCATCCTAAACTTGTTTAACAGCAAAGGGAGTATAATTTACTACGTCACTAATTTTACAATCAGACACATCTGTTTTGCCTAGAGCGTACTCATTAGCTTTGTTTCTCTGCAAGTGATCGCCATGCCTGGCACATTCTGGTCCTGTAACGGGAAATCAGAGGTGAGGGGCAGAAGCCCACTACACAGCCCTTCCTTCAAACGTGGAAATACTCTCTCAACACCTTTTCTAAGAGGGAACGACTGCCAGCCTGATGAATGCAGCGTGGTTAACGCTCTTCAAACATTCTGTTAAATTCGGGGCTTCATCTTCTAGGCCTTCTCTTTTGTTCTCAAGTGGGTATCTGGATGTGACATCCTCACAATAGGGTTTTGTTATACCCAAATTAAGGTAAACGGAAAACAACAGGTTACACAAGGAAATAAATGCCTCTTCTTTCACCTAAGCAATTTTAACGACCCCAAATGTACACTTACTAATATTGTGGACTCAGAGAATACTTAGCAAATCATCTTAAACAGATACGTGATTGAAAATAATAAGACATATTTCACATTTGATTGCTGGGAATACAAGTAAAAATAAACACCTTTATTTTGTTATGCTCTATTTATCTTTTGTTTCTGAAGAGATCAGAATGACATGAAAGAAATTTCTATCATTCAGTCTGCCCTCACGATGGTAACTAGGCCCTGTTGATTCTATTCTCTAACTCTCTCCCTTTTAAATTCGCCATCTTTTTTTGTGCTCTGCTCCCATCAAATCATTTAAAGTCATTCATCATCTCTCAACCTGGACTATTTACCATAATGTAATTTACTATGCTTTGTTTTACTACACAATACATGTTTGTACTAGAAAAGTTTGAAAATGTAGAAGACTGAAAAGAATAAAACAAATAAAATAAAATGCTAAGACTAAGAAGCAATTACTTTTGGGGGGAGCAATTACTTGTTAGTCTGTAAAAACCAGAAGATAGGGTCATTGAACTATTCATACCTGAAAAAAGGCAGCCAAGTAAGCAATCATGTCTCATCATGCTTCTGAGCTTCTTAATGGTCCCTTCCCATAAAATGGGACCATTTTACTCTGGAATCCCTTGGCTTTGTTACTTTAAAATTGTGTGCACTCGCGGAACACATGTATACCTCATTTTTTTTCACTACTAGTATCCCAACTCAGAGGTAGCTGACTGAAGAAATAAATAAGGCGATACTGCTAAAGAAAGTCTTTTTCATAGATGAATGAACTGCTTTCCTCTGAAGCTTTTTTCCTTTACTGGAGGAAATAAGTTCAGGATACAGGCAGCACTCAAAGCCAGGGCCTTGGGCCAGTTCCTTTGTCTCTGCAGAGGTCTCTTCCATTGCTTGGTGACATCCAGGGAAACCCAACACAAAGAGGCACCCAGTGATGAGACGGGCTTTCATCAGCACTAGAGTGAAAGTTTGAGGAGGGCAGGGAGTTGTCCAGTTTTGTTTCATGCCATACTCCCAGGACCTATGCATGGCAGGGACACTTTAGGCACTCAAAAAATATTTCTTGAATGAATGAAAGAATGAATGAATGAGGCTATGTTCTAATTTGGTTAGGATCTGCTCTCCTAGTCAGTGTTTTTCTATACATAAGCCATTCTATAGCTTTCACTAATCAGCAACCAACATGTTCTCAAAAATAAACTTCAATTTCCTTATCAAAGATAAGGAAAAGAGGATATACTGGCCATATAATTTAAAATGTATTAAAATGTAGACTTCAGGAATTAATACTAAAGTAATGGTTCTATGTGACTGCTTAATTCCACAATTTGAAGACCCTGTGTTTCTGTAAAAAGTGCCATAGACGTAAATACCTGGCATGGTGCTGTGCAATAGGGTAGCCACCAGCCTGCCACCTGTGGTTGTTAAATTAAACTAAAATTTAATAGAAATGTAAAACTCAGTTCTTCAGTTGCAAGAGCTACACAATGCAAAGCTCAACAGACTTATGTCTCAGTGGGTACTGTAGTGGACAATACACACATAAAACACTGCTACCATCACAGAAAGGACTGGATATAGCAACCAGAGCTAGCAGTTAGCCCCACCAGCAAGAGACTAAAGGGGGAGATAGAGACATCTTTCATTTAATACCTAAACCTTACTGAGTATATGCATAGAATATGCCTATAAGATTACACACCAAAAAAAACACCCTATTTCCAGCAAAAGTTAGTAGCTGGTGGGGACGGGGAGAGGGAAATTAAGACATAATACTATTTGACTTCCGCCAAGATGGAGGCATAGGTGGAAACACTTTGCTTCCTCGCACAACCAAATCTAAAAACAACAAAATTTTAACAACAATAAACACAACCAAATCACAGAAAATCAAACAATACGAAGTCTGAAAACATGCTCTCCAGGTGCAAAGCCCAAGAAAAAAAAACCCCCACCCAGAGGGCGCACAACAGTCAAGGGCGTGAACCCGGAAAAAAGACCAACACCCCCCCCACCCTGACAACTCTCTACTAACAGGTACAAACAGATAAAAACATGGCTCAAGAACAACTCAGAGCCCCAGAGCCAATAAATCTAAGTGACAAAGAAATAGCAAAACTTTCAGATGCACAGTTCAAAACACTGGTGATCAGAATGCTCACAGAACTGGTTGATTTTAGTCACAAATTAGAGGAACATATGAAGGCTAAATTAATTGAAATGAATGGAAATGCACAAGAAACCAATAGTGATGGAAAGGAAACTGGGACTCAAATCAAGGGAGCAGACCAGAAGGAAGGAAAAAAT